AGCATAATGGAGACGCTATTAGAGCAGCAGCGTCGCTACCATGAGGAACGCGAGCGTTTGATAAAACTAATGGTCGATGAGCATGCAACGAAAAAAGCCGGGGAGAAGGAGCGCATACACAGTGAGCACCGGCTAAAGTATTTAATGGAACTTTACCACAATGCTACCACCCAGCTTCGCGAGCTGTATGAGGACAAGGATAATGAACGAAAGGCTGAGATTGCGGCGCTGTCCGGACCAAATGAGTTCAATGAGTTTTATGCGCGTTTGAAGCAAATTAAACAGTTCTACAAATCCCATCCAGCCGAGGTCAGCGTTCCCCTCTCAGTTGAGTTTGAAGAGATGATCAAGGTCTACAATAATCCCGACGAAATGAGCGCTCTTGTAGAATTCACCGACGAAGAAGGCGGCGGGCGGTACTTGGACCTAAACGAATGCTACGAACTTTACTTGAATTTGCGTGGTGTCGAAAAACTGGACTACATCACGTATCTCATGTCCTTTGACCATGTCTTTGATATACCCCGTGAGCGTAAAAACCGCGAATACCGCAAGTACATTGAGACGCTTAATAATTATCTACACAGCTTCATAATGCGCATTCAACCGCTCCTAGACCTTGACAGCGAGCTAGTTAAAGTGGAGCTTGACTTTCAGCGCCAATGGCTGCAAGGCACCTTCCCCGGTTGGTCGTTGAAGGAGACAGAATCGGCACTCGCCAACACGGGAGCGCATTTGGATCTCTCCGCCTTTTCAAGCTGGGAAGAGCTGGCTTCGCTTGGCTTGGATCGTCTTAAATCCGGCTTGATTGCCTTGGGGCTCAAATGCGGAGGCACCTTGGAGGAAAGGGCTCAACGTCTATTTACAACCAAGGGAAAGACCACTTTGGACCCCGCGCTGATGGCTAAGAAAACAACAGCGAAAAGCGCCAATGCACAAACACGCGAGAATCAGCGAAATAAGGAAATCGCACAGCTGGAAGCGTTGCTCTATAAATACGCCGAGCTGCTGTCCGAGCAACGGGCGGCAACCAAGGAGAATGTACAGCGTAAGCAAGCACGCACTGGAGGCGAGCGAGACGACAGCGACATCGAGGCTAGCGAATCGGACAACGACGATGATCCCGATGCAGATGATGTGCCCTTCAATCCCAAGAATTTGCCTTTGGGCTGGGATGGCAAGCCCATACCCTACTGGCTCTATAAGCTGCACGGCCTGAATATCAGCTACAATTGTGAAATTTGTGGCAACTTTACCTACAAAGGACCCAAAGCGTTCCAGCGGCACTTTGCCGAGTGGCGGCACGCGCACGGAATGCGCTGCTTGGGCATACCGAATACGGCGCATTTTGCGAATGTTACGCAGATCGAAGATGCGATCACATTGTGGGAGAAGCTCAAATCGCAAAAGCAGAGCGAACGCTGGATCGCTGACCAGGAGGAGGAGTTCGAGGACACACTCGGCAATGTGGTCAATCGCAAGACATTCGAGGACCTTAAGCGACAAGGATTGCTCTAAGACAAACTATGCAATTTACGTCACTAAGTGTTTTGTCAGTCAATAAAAAATTGTGAGAAAAAGAATTATATACAATTCTACAGAATAAATATGTTTAAATATTATATCGATATACATATTAGAATCTTTGGAATGCTCTGTGTTGCTCATCAAACGATTTAACATGAATTGGCAACAACTGCCTGCAAAATATGAGGGTATTTATTTAACACAATCACATTTAATTCTTAATGATTAAAATTGTAAAACTAATTGCATATATATGCCGCCATTCGCAGACCGACTTTATCAACTTTAGACAAGGGCAGCAGAGAGAATTTCTGTGACTTCAGCTGGTGCGGACTTTCAGTTGACTGCAGCCAGGGAAACTCCTGGTATTGCGCGTTATGGCTAAGCTGCGTAAATGTCGTCTGTGTTGTATGTATATGGACCTTAAACTTGGCGTTCTGGCCAAGTTTTGGCAAATGTTTCACGCGATCAGCGAATTTGTAGAGAGCTGACCTTAACTGTTGCTCGTAATCCATTAAATACTGGTCTTGTGTGGGATCAGCCTGAAGTGGCTCCATTTCCAGAAAGTAGCTCTCCTTATGTTCCGATTCGTTTGAGTATATAATTATTTCTATCTTTAATTGTTGCGCCGCATTTGTCAACAAATTCTGCACAGTTTTCAAAATATTTGCCAGGTAAGGATTCAAGGCTGGGAAGGCGACTATAAAGACTGGGGTATTGTAGACTCGGCGTTTCTTAAAGATTTGTGCCGGATAAACGCCGCGCACATAAAGTATATGATTTAAAATCACTTCGATGGCTTCCACATGTATTGCTATAATCTCTTCTAAATCCATTTGTATTTATTAAAGAACTATTTCAATTCATTAGCGGCTGTAAATAAAATAAGGCACTAAAATTAGCCTGAAAAAACTACTTGGTCACACTTTGTTTTTATATCTATGTATGTATGTATGTATATAAATATATATATAT